GTCCGTAAAACTGTATCCGAACCCTGTTGAGAACATGCTGCATGTGGAAGCAGCAAAGGCAGTGAACATCAGCATCAACGCGATAGACGGCAAGCAGCTGCTGAAGGCGGACAATGCGAAGTCGATAGACCTGGGCCACTTGTCACAGGGCCTGTACCTTATCCGTATCACCGATGCATCGACCGGTGCATTGATCAGGGTGGATAAGGTGAATAAGAAGTAAGATTTCCTACATAAATAGTATCAAACAGACCGCCCGGCGAATCGCCGGGCGGTTTTGCTTTTGGTCTCTGATAACAATGAGGGATGCCTGCCAATAATAAGTCCCTGGCGAAACGGCAGCGTCTCGGCGAACCAATTAATCCCCCGGACACCGCCCTTATCTGCCTTCTTAAATAGTCGTCCCTCAAAAAGTTGTTTTGGGGATTTTCAGAGATAATAGAGTGCTAAAAAACAGTTTCAAATCCCATGATTTAATTTTTGTTCATATGCAGCTGTCAACGGTATTGATGCGTTCAACTAATGACTTACCATTTTCTGTACAAACCGCTTCTTGTGCGTCATAGCTGAAAAAACTACAGCGGTTTTAAGGAAAGGAAATTTCTCAAGTTCGCCGTCTTGATTTTTTTCTTCAGGGTATCGTCATAAACGATCATGGTGCCTTTCTCATCTTTGCGCACAGCCTTTTTTTAGAATGCCATTGCCAATAACCAGCCTACTCATCGAAAGCAAATTTCTGGTCTATTGCCGAACCCCACAAAAGAAGGATATTGACACCACGGTAGTAATTATCGGTAGTGAAGCTTTTAGGCAGGCTATTTTCAATGATAATTACCATTTATCTCTTTAAACAGGTGCTTATTAAAAAACATTAAAAAATAATTAAATATAACGTAAGCCCTAGCTGATAAATACCGTCTGTTTAAATGCCCTATATATTTGCAGCCTTTTATATGTTGACCACTACAGCTATTCATCATTAATTAATAAAAATTGATTCTTTTTAGATATATTTCCAATTTTCAATGAATTATTTACGTAATTTTGAAAAATTAAATAAATAATCATCGAATGAAAAGAATGGATACAAAGACACAATTATTACTTGTTTTCGCTTTTTTAACAGCGGGAGCAGCCCATGCACAGATCGGTATCGGCACAGTAACACCCCACGGTTCCGCGGCATTGGACGTCTCGTCAACCAGTAAAGGTTTTTTGTTACCGCGACTGACCACTACACAACGTGATGCCATCGTGACGCCGGCAAACGGCCTGATGATCTATAATATAACCAATGCTACCCTGGAGATAAATAATAGCATAACCGCTGTTCCGGACTGGTCTCCTGTTCAAAATGGCGTAGGCGCACCGATGAGTTCGGTAACCGTGGCCGGCGACACCACAACTGATTCCGATATTGATGTTCTGGTACCCGGAATGACCTTATCGCCTCCCTCCGGCACTTATCTGGTTATGTTTAACGGCCAGTATGGGGTAGGTGCATCTACCGTTGTCAGTACACAACGGGCAGTGACGGACCTGAATACAGCGTATGCCCAAATTATGGCCGTACCTGCCACTAACACATCTCATGGTGCTATTTTAGGTGCTGAAACGCTATTGCCGGGTGTTTATACATTTCCTGCAGCCGTATCTATGG